TATATATATATATATATATATGTATAAAAGGGAAACTGAAGATTTAGAAATTTTGTCTTTCATCCATGGTTATGCAATTTGAACGACTCGTCGTCCCACTCATGGTTGTGTTGTATTCACGGTCCGATTAACCCAATCCTTCTCGTTCTCGGCCATTAAATGGTGCTATGCCTTCCCCATCTCCTTTATTTTCCTAACTCGAATTATTTACGAAGCGTCGATAGTCGCCGCAATCTTAACTGCAGTGAAATCGATAGCATTCGGCCGCGTGCGTATAAAAATAGAGAGAGAGAGAGAGAGAGAAGCTTGATGTACTTAGGAAGAGAAAGAGAAGAAAAAAACAAAAGCAAAACATAAAAGAGAGAGAGAGAGATAGAAATAGGAAGACAAATTTGTACTTTCTAACCCTTTGATGTTCTTGTTCTTTTTGGTTTTGTATTGAAACAAAAAAGAAACAAATACGTTTCTTCTTTTAAATCTCACCCTTTGTTGTTTTTTTATCAAATAGAAGAAAAAAAAAAAAAGATGGTGACAAAGTCAATTCATTAGCTTAATGTTATTTTAATCGTTCTATGATTGTAGTGTCGTACGCCAACTAAAATGACGCCGTTGTCCGACGTTTTACGATGAGGATCGTAAAACATTTCACGTGTGTGCTGAACTAACTTCGTTATTCATTATTAATAACAATAATAATAATAATAATAAAAAAAATAGAAAGGAAAGGATTGTCGAAAAAAAAAAAACGTAAGAAATAAAAATAAAAAGTAAAGTAACGAGGGAAAGTATTTAATCGAAGGTCCCTTGCCAATCAAGATGAGGGGAGAAAAATGAAAGGAGCAATTTCCTTGCTACCTCCATTTTATTTTTATCTTCTTTCGAGATTATCACTCGAGATAAAACAAAGAGGAAACTTCTTACATAGGCTTTTTTTTTCTTTTTCCATCGATAAACAAAGTATAAAATAAATAACGTGATCCGTTTAATGAAGCAACCAAAATCACAAATTGTATCCGCCATTTTGTATTTCTATCAAATTTTCCTATTTTTCTGTTTTCCCCTCGAACAAAAAATTATCAATTTTGTAGATTTATCTATCGGGTGTGTAGTACCACCACCGTCATCGTTAATGAAGCAACAAAAACCACAAATTGTATCCGCCATTTTGTATTTGTATTATTTTTTTCTATCTTTTCTTTCCCCCCAAACAACAGACCGATAAAAAATGTAGTTTAAAGTTTATAGATTTATCTACCGGATGTGTACTACCCACCACCCCGTTTTAAGTCAACAACAACTTTGTCAGATTTAAATTTTCTTTTTATATTTTCAATGCAGGTGGAGGGAGGACAAGCGTCATGGAACGCGTTACCAATGTATTTTGCGGTGGCGGTGGGGTGGCATATACGAATTTGCAAAGTGCGAACAACGTGAACGCGATACCGGAGAAACCAAGTAGGAGCGTACCAACGTCGATGAATAACATGTCAACAGGAAACAATAAGACCTTGAACAATGGTACAGGTAGCAGACCTAGGATATCACGTAACAAATCTAAAAATGTTAGTTTAGCGAGTGGTGGAACAGGAGGTGGATACGTCGCACCAAACACGTGGGAACAGTTGTTGCAAGATGATCATTTCCTTGGACGATTCTTTCTTTATTTCAATGCCACAGAAAGAAGGATATTAGCACAGGTAAATATAATTATCAAATATTCTAATTAATTCAAATAATCATCTTATAATATTGATATAAAGGTATGCACAAGATGGCGAGACGTATTATACGCGAGACCAAGATTCTGGGCAGGTTTGATACCAGTGGTCAGATGCCGTGAAGCTAGATCTATGCCATCCAGTTCTCGTACACGACTTTATGCCTCATTGGTAAGGCGAGGTTTTCATTCGTTAGTTTTATTGGGTGCCGCGGACGAAGATATACCAGAATTAACGCACGGATTTCCTCTTGCGCAACGATACGTACATTCCTTGTCATTACGATGCTGTGCCGTCACCGACAGGGGTCTAGAAGCTCTCTTAGATCATATGCAGGTAGGATGATTTCATTCATACGTGTTGATGCTAGTGACGATGATAACAATAATATGATTATTTTATTAGTACTAACAAAACCCTAAAGATTGATCTCATTTGTTGTAGGCTCTTTTCGAATTGGAACTAGCTGGTTGTAATGAAATCACCGAAGCCGGTCTTTGGGCATGTTTAACACCTAGGATAGTATCCTTGTCCTTGTCCGATTGCATAAACGTAGCGGATGAAGCAGTGGGTGCAGTTGCCCAATTGTTACCAAGTCTTTACGAATTTTCGCTGCAGGCTTATCACGTAACCGATGCCGCATTAAGATACTTCAGTGCAAAACAAAGTAGCGCACTTAGCATTCTCAGGCTCCAATCATGTTGGGAACTTACCAATCAGGCAGTAATAAATATTGGTGAGATATTTGTATTCTTTAATTATCGCAAACGTTCTCAAAAGATTTATTTTACTTTGGAAAATAACATTTTATCGATCACGTTGGTACACACAATGATGTGGGGATACGTATGATGTCACATATTCTTAGAGCAAAATCATTCTATAACTCATGTTTGCTCATGTCGATCCGTAAAATACATCTGTAAATGGAAAAACAAGATCTATGTGTGTATGTGTGTATGTGTGTGTGTGTATTTATTTGTGTACACATATCTAGCTAACCGTTCTCGTTTGTCTTTCTGTGTACTTTAACGTTCTAAGAATATGATAAGCACTTTACTACCGACCGGCTAAAACGTGAAATTGAATCAGTCACACATGCACACACAAATACACGTGCTGAGGATTAAATATAGAATTAAGGAACAGCTTTATTTAGCATTCAAGCTGTCAGTCAGGGTCGTCTCGTTTATTTTACGGGGCCAAAGATTAAGAAAAAGATAATTGTTGGTAAATGCAATAACCAAGAAAATGTAATAGGTAGAAATGTATTTATCATCTTATCAGATGTTAACTCTGTGATGATATTAATCATACGTTTAAAATGAAAATTCAAAAAGCACACTTGTATATATGCCAAGAAAATCATGTAATCATAATTTATGGAACGTTTGCGATCATAGAAAATAAATGTCTAATTTAAAATTTGATTAATGGACAATTATCTAATGCTTTATTATAATTTTAGATAAAATGCTTTATGTATTTAGCTCACGTTATAATCATTTTTCTGTCGCAGTACATTCCTTGCCAAATTTGACCGTATTATCGTTATCTGGATGTAGTAAAGTTACGGACGACGGTGTAGAATTAATAGCGGAAAATTTGCTAAGACTACGTTCCTTAGATTTGAGCTGGTGTTCGCGAATTACAGATGCAGCCTTAGAATATATAGCCTGTGATTTGAATCACTTAGAAGAACTTACATTAGACAGGTAAAGGATACAAAACAACATGATTTTTGCACATGTATGTATATTGTAATTATATTCATTTTCAATTGTTTAATAGATGCGTCCACATAACGGATATTGGCGTAGGTTATATTTCAACAATGGGATCCCTAAGTGCTGTGTTCTTGAGATGGTGTTCACAATTAAGAGACTACGGACTTCAGCACTTATGCAATATGAGATCTTTACAAGTGCTTTCTGTAGCTGGTTAGTCTACTTTCAATGTTAAATACAGGTTGCCCTCACATACGCCCTACACACGGCACACAGGTTGCCCCTACAACATGGCATCTTATAATACGGTTTCCTCTCAAAAAACCTTTGTACAACATTGTACTTCTACAGCTGCAGCTAGGTTTGTCGTTTTAAAGATACAGTCTTGCGGAAAGTATTTCTTTTCATCTACATGGCCTGAAAACAAAAGTTTTGGGCTCATGGCTATGGGTCTCATACAACACGGTTTTACACAACACAGCGTTTTCTAGGATTATATGAGGGTTACCTGTATCTCAATCGTTTATTTACTAACAGTTGAATTAACAAGACCATTTTGTATTTGTAGGTTGTCCATTACTCACTAGCAGTGGTTTATCAGGGCTGATACAGCTTCGTCATTTACACGAATTGGAGCTAACCAACTGTCCAGGAACGTCGCGTGAGCTATTTGATTATTTACGAGAACACTTACCACGTTGCCTAATCATTGAATAAGAGGAACCGTGTGTTGTGCGGGATAGTTGCAATACCAACCTCTTTGATTTCGAACGTATGTATGTATGTAGTAGTATATAATGGTTGCTCGAAGGTAAAAGAAAAAAAAAAAAGAAAGAGGTGCGAACTTAAAATGACAGGAAGAAGACTTGTATTATTTGTATACAGTAAACAAAATATGCGCAAAGCAATACATAAAGAGAAAGATGAAACAAATAAATGATGCATACGAGCAAAAAGTAAGTAAATATATATATATAGATATATATCACCGCAAGCGAAATGACGTCCATATTCTCTGAGAGCATACTAAATATGTTTTTCTTCTAACGGGCAAAACAAAACAAAACCATACAAAAAAAAGAATATAAAAAAAAAATAAATAAAAAAAAAAAAGTAAAAATCACACGCGATATAATAAATGACATTAAGTATAGTAGTATTTAGGCCTTTTTAATACACCGATGCCAGCATTTAAAACTGCACTTGTCATTCTCGTCGCGTTATGTTTCAAATTGTTTATTATTATAGTTTTATTATCTTATTATTGTCTGCGTAATACGTAATAGAGAAAAAATATACATAATAATCCTGAGGATAATACATCTTTATTAATAATTGTTCTTGAAAAACGTGTTTTATCATAAATATTACGTAAGTTGGAACTTAAATAGTGGCAACTATTTATTCACAATCGATACAAAAGAGTTACATGTTTGCACCTGTTACTGTTCCTCAAAGTAGTCACTAGCGTTGTGTAGAACCCGTTAGCAGAGCCTGTTCTGTTGATGGTGCAAATGGAGCGGTCCTACTGCCTGTCGAATCTCTGGAACAGTTCTGAAGCGAATGCCACGATGGGTTCAGCATGAATTGACGGAAATGCAGAAATGGATGCGTTAGGAAGCTGCTCAGATGCACTTGGAGAGCTATGAGCGTGAAGGAGAGGCTTTCTTACGCTGTATCGTAACACTGGATGAGACATGGCAGTAGACTGTTCTATTTGCACCATCAACAAAACAGGCTCTGCTGACGGTATGCTACGCCTTCCACATCGCTGGCAACGGGTTCTACACAACGCTGATGACTACTTTGAGGAACAGTAACAGGTGCAAACATGTAACTCTTTTGTATCGGTTGTGAATAAATAGTTGCCATTATTTAAGTTTCAAGCAACGTACATCCATCCACATGTTTGTTCGATACAAAAAATATTTAACAATGATGAAACAAATTTCAACGATTTTATTATCATTTGCTTTTTTCTCTATGTTATATTTTTCAGTAGAAGAAAAAAGAAAGAAAATT